ACAATATAAAACACGGGCTATAGATCGCTAACAACTGAGGGTGGATCACCATACTAGGAACCATTGGGACTTACATAACTTTTGCTACCTGCATGGACCCTAGTTGGATTTACACCATCCCCTCAGCAACTGGTGATGGTAGGAAGGTTTAGTCAAAATTTAGGATAACAAAAATACTACGATTAAAAAATATGGTTGAGCGAAATTGACTTGGAAAGTTTTGGGACTTACGCATCCTCTCAGGAGGACAATAATTTTACACTACTTCAACCCCCTTTGAGGATACAGCCACAAACAATCTAAGTTCATAATCTGAACTACCAATTATAAAACTGTCTCTATTTACGAAACAGATATCAAAATTCATTTAACAAATCTATCTCTTTTCAAAAATCAATGATTAAATGATAATTAACATTATTAAAAAGGCCCTTTACTGTTTTGATATTGAAATATGTATCCCTTATGATAGAGAATTCAACACAGTCAAGCAGGACATGCTTGACCGTGGTTCTCTCATCACAAGGGATACAAAACGGGGATCCTCACCTTTCAATAGGTATGCATGAGTTTATCTTGTGTGGCCAATATGACATCGTCGTATGATGACCTCTTCAAATCTAGACTGACAACCAAAGTATGTGTAACCGATATAGGGTTTTATTCCGACATACGAAACTTGCTCTGATGTAAATAAGCTTGCAAGATTAAAACCCGCAGAAAAGATTTCAAAATGTTTCATACTAGGCATGGAAAGGGTATTTCCAAATTGATGCGTCAGTGGCAATGATGCTAGATCCAGTTCCCAATTTCACTCTGTTATATGCTATCGTGCTTCATGACTATTGCTTGACATGGCCGTCACCAGTGGGGCAGGAGTACACACATATGTGAATCACATGCAATTACTAGTGATTACGACATAGTTGGTATTGAACACTGACTCTTTACTTTTGGTGTATACATTTTAGGATTAGGGAAACGTTGTTCTTGCTGTCACTAACCCGTGAAGGTCCGGGTTGGAATGAACCTTCAATAACCCATGCTTCTCGTAAGAGGCGACTAACGGGACCGGGTGGTCAGGCTCGCTGGCTTGGTTGACACATGTCATTGGTTCCCAATTGCGCAATCGATGCCCATGCTGTTGATCACTGGATTGTCTGGTCCAGACTCCATTATTTACAGACCGCCGCCATATAGCTGGAAGACTGCTGAGTGCGGCGTAAAACTAAACTCACTCACTCACTTGCTGTCTCTTTTTCTACATTTGTACATCTCGGACAAAATATCAAAGACATGTTTTCTAAAGTACATGACATGCATACACAGGTATCTCAATACCCTTTTCGTAACCATTTTCATATTACTACCACAACATTAGAACCAGAATGATATATGTGAAGGATTTCAGTGAGTGATCAGTAACACTTGCAACAGAGCACAGTACATTATTCTGTACGTACTTTCACAAAGCACAACGATTTATTTTGAGAATAGTAGTTTTAGTAATACAAGTTTCAATTTATTGTATTATGTAAAAAGAAAATACGAGATTGTGCACGATAACCCAAAGTGACAGAAATAGCTCATACATGTACAGATTTCCAATCATCTAGTTGCTTTCAGTGGATGGACCGCCAGATTCAGTTGCGTATTTGTCCACCGTCACAGACAAAATGAGACGATCGTGTTGCTGCTGGGGAATATGGTGTCCTTCGAACTAAGGCCAGATCATGTTGCCCGAAGCCTGGGACTAAAGAGTGCGACCACTAACACGTGGGTGCTTCATGTATGTTCCATCGGGCCTACGTCTGGTGAGCTCTGCAGCCAGTCCATATGTGTAATATCAGTATTGTTGATCTGGATATTCATGGTTTGTGCAAACTGCTCAGTGTATACATTGTAAATGGAAGGTCAAAATCAGATATACAAAATCTACTTTCTTCACACGGGCTGTGAGACTATTTCATGGCAGTTCCCATCAAGTTGTCAATTCATGATAAAGTTTTAAGATTAGAGTGTGAAAGTATAGATGAACGATATGTAAAATTACGTTTCCTACCAAGCTATCAGTTTCCATTTGAATGTGAGTATATTTCGCAATAGTCGCATTGTCATCTATGTAATACAACCAGAACACTAATGTTTCACGAGTTGATATTATTACTGGCATGGATCAGAATATAGACAGTGTTGTACGGACACTAACTGATGATATATTATCCTATGGATTAAATGCAGGCAAATAGATTCCAGCCATCTTGTTTGACAAAGACTGTGCAAAGTTAATACGGATGCAATATATGCGTTTAGGTAAATCCAGAAAATGTAAATGCATTAAAGTAATGAGCGACTATAGTGAGTGTGTGGGTATGGTTTTACACCGTTTTAGACAATATTCCAGCAATGTCATAATAGAATCTGGTTTCACGTAGTGTACCCATGGAGGGAATCGAACCCGGGTTTTCAGCGTGACACATGAACCACTAAGTTACCCCAGTGCTCCACTCTAATGAGGAACTGTGGCTTTACCTACGTACAGTAGCTCAGTACGGTCACTGGGTGACATGTCCAGTTACCTGAGAGGAACTGTATGTGGAAGAAACAGACAAACCAAAGGTGAGGACAAAAAAAACAACAAATTATGTGGTTATAACCACCTCAGTGTATTAATGAAATCTATGAAAGGCTTGAAACACTGTCACTAAATTACAAATACCTGACCCTATTCTTACACAAGTGTGTTTTAGGGACATTTATTGCGTCTCAGTTTTACATGTTGATATGATAGATATGCAACTGACACTTGGAATCAGATTTTACATTCAAAGACAGAAACGGTTGTTTATTAATAGTTGACGTTAAAACATATTGTATGACGACATTTCAATTGTAGTGATATTATTTATCGTCTTCCCTCTTCAACGCGGACCCCTATTTGGACGTATTAACGTATAGTAGCTTGTCAGAATCTGTGGTCCTGTTTATATAGATCAAATACAAATATACTCATGCCAATAATGGTTGTCACCCCTTCCTCCTCCCCACACCGCACACCTCCACCCCCTCTCCAGTTAAAATATTGAAGGGGGTGACAACCATTATTGGCATGAGTATATTACACAATTGCTGAGAAGATAAATGACCACTACATTATAGAATATAATATCATGCAAGGTAGATCGCTCCTAATGTTCGAATATAGATAGCGCATCTTATTGCATCAACGTGTGATGATACCATTGTAGAAAAGGACACATTTTCTCAGACAGAATATTAATATAATCCAGTGTATAACTTATGGTATTTCATAATTCGTATACGTCCTACCAAACATCTGACGCAATTCAATGAGGAGGAGGATTATCACAAGAAATAATTGTGGAAGATTTATATATTGTGTGTGACGATCTTGTCGTTCTTTAGACTTGAGGCGACAGTCAGACGACTGTGTTACATATTATCTAATGGAAACTTTTGATAAAGTCAGTTGACCCCAGTGTAGACGAAAAATAATGAACGAAGAGCTCGTACAATACCTCCAACTTACAGTTGCCTAAGCTGCAAAGACCACCCAAGCGTTTGACACTTTAGTTACCTTCTTCGTATCAGAAAGCTGAATGTAAGGAGATTGGCCTTGCTCACTGTTGCATCCGGGTCGACAGATGGAGGTTCATAGTTCCAGGTTCAAGACTAGCTGTTCCCTTTCAGGGCGTAGAAAAGTTGGTTCCAAGTAGTCTGTGCACGGCGTGACCTGCGTCCATGTATCTGCCTTGTGCAGACACGATGCATATGTGAAATCAAATGACCCTGGAATAGGGACCAGTCCACTCCTGTACTATTTGGGGTGTATTATAGTATATTGTTTGTTCTGTCGCATGTTTACTGCCGACATGTGTGCTGCTATTTACCATCCAGAATAACATGCAACGCCTGTCACGATCATGTTCTTCACCTGAACACCCTGCAGGTATATAGCTCAACTGAGCTAATGAAAGAATAGCATACCTTATTTTTTACAGCACTTAGGTGTGCATTTTACCAATCATCTTTCATGGGAAGTACACACATCACAGGCAGCTATACAAGCAAAGAAAATATGAATAGGTATAACACAATATATACACATTTTAGGCGACTTGTAACACGTGACCTGATTGGATAGAAAGAATGGTGATAATTCGTGTTGCGATTTTTGCTGCCTGGGGATTTTACGAGAACCGGGAAATATGGCCTTATTATAACAGAGGTTACGCGGGAAGATATGACTTGAATAACCTATGTGGGAAGAGAATGCATGCAAGCTAATCGCTCCTAATGTTCTAATATAGAAAACGCTTTTTTTAAGTCAAAGTGTGATGATAACATTGTACAAGAAGACACATTACCTCATACGTGATATTAATACAATTCCAGTGTATAACCTATGGTATTTCATAATTCGTATACGTCCTACCAAACATCTGACGCAATTCAATGAGAGGAGGATAATTATCACAAGAAATAATTGTGGAAGATTTATATATTGTGTGTGACGATCTTGTTGTTCTTTAGACTTGAGGCGACAGTCAGACGACTGTGTTACATATTATCTAATGGAAACTTTTGATAAATTCAGTTGTCCCAAGTGTAGGCGAAAATAATGAACGAAGAGCTCGTACAAATACATTCAACTTACAGCTGCCTAAGCTGCAAAGACCACCCAAGCATTTGACATTACGTTACCTTCTTCGTATCAGAAAGCTGAATGTAAGGAGATTGACCTTGCCCACTGTTGCATCCGGGTCGACAGATGGAGGTTCATAGTTCCAGGTTCAAGACTAGCTGTTCCCTTCAGGGTGTAGCATGGGGAGGTTGTGTAGCTGATGGGACACCATGGAGATGTAGCCGATGACTGATAGGCACATGGGGGAGTTGTGTTGCTGATAGGGCACACTGGGGAGGTTTGTGTTGCTGATAGGGCACCATGGGGAAATTGTGTTGTTGATAGGGCACCATAATCATGGAGGTTGTGTTGCTGATAGTGCACCATGGGGACGTTGTGTTGTTGATAGGGCACCATGCGGGAGGTTGAGGCTGCTGGATAGGGCACCATATGGAGGTGTGTTGCTGAGTGGTAGGGGCATCATATGGGAGGTTGTGTTGCTGATAGAGGCACCATGGGGAGGTTGTGCTGCTGGTAGGGGTTCCATATGCACGTTGTGTTGTTGATAGGGCACCATGGGGAGGTTGTGTTGCTGAAAGGTCACCATGGGCGGTTGTGTTGTTGATAGGGCACCATGGGGGAGGATAGAGGGCACCATGTTAAGTTGCTGGAAGGTAACCATATAGAGGTTGTGTTGCTGGTAGGGCACCATAGGGAGGTTGTGTTGCTGATAGGGCACCCTTGGGGAGTTGTGTAGTTGATAGGGCATCATATGGAGGTTGTGTTTTTGGTAGGGCACCATAGGGAGGTTAAGTTGCTGGAAGGTAACCATATAGAGGTTGTGTTGCTGGTAGGGCACCATCGGGAGGTTGTGTTGCTGATAGGGCACCATGGGGAGGTTGTGTTGCTGGTAGGGAACCATAGGGACGTTGTGTTGCTGAAAGGGTACCATTCGGAGGTTGTTTTGCTGGTAGGGCACCATGCTGATAGGGGGAGGCTTGTTGCTGAAAGGGTACCATTCGGAGGTTGTGTTGCTGGTAGGGCACCAAAGGGAGGTTGTGTTTTGCTCGGGAGGTTGTCTAGGGCACCATCCAGTTGGGAGGTTTGGTTCAACAACGTTGACGCAATCAGCGAGAAACAGTTGTGCAGTCATTCTGTGGCTCGTCACGTGTTGTGTCTACCATTCCGACTGATGTAACAGAGCTGTAATTTAGTCCTATTTAGAACGGTAGTATACATGTGTTAACAAACGTTTTGCCCTTTTGTTATTGCATTCCGAATCCTGTGTCTCTCAACATAATCATTGATCTTTGCAGGAATAACAGAGTACATACATTCTGTGGATTTGTCGCAAATATCACCCCAAGTGCTCCACTGTTTTGTTCGTCATCCAGACGGCACTGATGACGTCTTCGAATCGTATTGTGACGTAATTCCGGTATAGAACCGGAGGATTTCGAACATTGTGGTTTTCTAATATAACAAGGCGGTCATAACAGTTAATTCTAAAGGCCTCAGACTTAAAGATAATAATGATATAATGGGTATTAAAGACATTACTTTCGCATGTGGCTCTCTTGCTCTGGCTAGGGAAGTTCCTCATTTGTGACAAAAAGTAGGACGCACATGCTCGATATATCTCTATTTGTTGCTGCTGTCCCACATTTTGACCCAATGTGTTGTCATTTATGAAGACAAACCTAAGCCTTTAGTTCACTAAATCACTGTTAGGCTCTGTTGCAGGTTTCAAGGTTGAACTTCGACCTTCAGTTTTGAAAATCAACACGCCCCCGATGGTCAACCAGTAACACGTGTATACAACCGACACGCGTGCCTCCGCCATGATGGCTCTGCTATGGAGGTGCTATTTACCATTCAGAATAACATGCAAAGCCTTTCACGATCATGTAGTTCACCTGGACACCCTGCCTGTATATAAATTAGTTCAATGTTTATTTGTTGAACTGAACCTACCGAAGAATATTGTACTACAATTTTGCTCTTGAATTTAATGTTATCTTTAAGATCTTGGATTCAAAGGTAATCACGTGAGAATATTTTAACAGCTTAAATTGTTCAATTGTACGTAAGCACGCAGGAAGTGGCCATGCGTCCAATTGAAAGTATAACTGAGAATCCATACGATACAACGTAACGTTTTATTTGCAAATTAATTAACATAAATCACCATAATATAATGATACCTAATTGAGAGGCCAAGGTTTAGATGGTTTAGTATCTAAGCAAAACTCACAATATCATTGATACAAACGTATGACTAAATTGAAAAGGAAACAAGGATTGAATACAGAGTGAGACACATGTGAAGATTGAAGCAAAGTGAAGTATCATTACTGAAGCTACAGGTTACAAGTTACACTGATGGCTTACAAAGTATTGTCAATACAAAGTGATAAAAATACAATAAATCAAAGTAATGGCTCTTCAGTAATCGTCATGAAAAGTTAATTAATGGTAGGAATACTAATTCTTTGTCAAGGCCTATTCTACTCAGTAAGCCATATGTTAGTAAATGTACATTCACGGATATTGGTTATATTATTGAAAGTTGGATATATGGGTTTGCAAATACATATTATAAAAAAAATACATACAAAACAACACACTCATCAAATCAAATCCTTCAACAAATGTAATGAAGATATTTTCAAACTATGTTTTGCACTTCTAGAAGTTGTTCAGAAAATAAGAAAAAAGTATATAATTTTTATGGATGACAGCTTCTGTGTATTGCCTAGTTGACGTCGTCATCACTTCAGCTTGTGTCAGGAGCGTCATTGAGACGTTGGCATATTCAATAAACAAGAAGTTAGGCTAACAATATTGAATATTAAACTGGTATGTAAATAAAAGAATAGAATCCCCCGTTTCCACATTCACTCTCACCCCTCCCATCTATATCCCGTGATCCCGCCTCCCCATTTCCACTTCCACTCTCACCCTCCCCATCTTCTATCCCCATCTTCGCTGTCTCATTTCTACCTCCACTCTTCACCCCTCCCACCTCTATCCCCATCCCTATTCCCCCATTTCCACCTCCACTCTCACCCCTCCCACCTCTATCCCCATCCGCTCCCTCATTTCCAAATCCATTCTCACCCTCTCCCCACTCCTATCCCCTATCCCGCCCCCATTTCCACCTCCTCTCTCACCCCCTCCCCAACTCTATCCCCATCCCGGCTCTCTCATTTCCCCCAACTCCATTCTCGACCCTCCCCACCCTCTATCCCCATCCCACTCCATCATTTCCACCTCCACTCTCACCCTCCCACCTCTATCCCCAATCCTGGTTCCCAATTTCCACCCTCCACTTTCACCCCTCCCCAACTCTATCCCCATCCCGGTTCCCCCATTTCCAACTCCACTCTCATCCCTCCCTCCACTCTATCCCATCCCACTCTCCATTTCCAGCACCTCCACTCTCACCCTCCCCACCTCCTATCCCCATGTTCCCCCATTTCCCACCTTCACTCTCACCCCCTCCCCACCTCTATCCCTCCATCCCTGTTCTCATTTCCACCTCCAATCTCTCACCCTCCCCACCTCTATCCCCATCCCGTCCCCCATTTCCACCTCTCCACTTCATCCTCCCCACCTCGATCCCCATCCCCCCTCCCCCATTTCCACCTCCCTCTCACACCCTCCCCCACCTCTATCCCCCATCCCACTCCCCCATTTCCACCACCTCCCCTCTCATCCCTCCCACCGCTATCCCCATCCCGGGCCCCCATTTCCACCTCCCCTCACCCCTCCCCACCCTCTATCCCCATCCCGGTTCCCCATTTCCACCTTCACTCTCACTCCCCCACCTCTATCCCCTTACTTCCACCTCCTCATTTCCAGTCTCCACCTAACCCCTCCCCCCCACCTCTATCTCCATCCCCTGCCTCCACTCCACCTCCACTCTCACCCCTCCCCCACCTCTATCCCATCCCGGCCCCCCATTTCACTTCCACTCTCACTCCCTCCCCACCTCTATCCCATCCTGCCTCCCCATTTCCACCTCCACTCTCAACCCTCCCACCTCTATCCCCATCCTGCTCCCCCATTTCCACCTCCACTCTCACCCTCCCCAACTTTATCCCCATCCCACATTTCCACCTCCACTCTCACTCTCCTCCCCATCCCTGGTTCCCCTACTTCTATCCTCCCATCTCCCACCTCCACTCTCCCCACCTCTATCCCCCCTCCATTTCCACCCTATCCCTCATCCCCGTTCCCCTATTTCCACCTCACCCCACTCTCACATTTCCCCTCCCCCTCACCTCTATCCCCATCCCACTCCCTCATTTCCACCTTTCTCTCTCACCCCTCCCCACCTCTATCCCCATCCCGGTTCCCCATTTCCCACCTCCACTCTCAACCCTCCCCACCTCTATCCCCATCCCGGTTCCCCCATTTCCACACCTTCACTCTCACCCCTCCCCCACCTCTATCCCCATCCCTGCCTCCCCATTTCCACCTTCACTCTCACCCCTCCCCACCTCTATCCCCATCCTGCTCCCCCATTTCCACCTCCACTCTCACCCCTCCCCACCTCTATCCCCATCCCTGCTCCCTCATTTCCACCTCCACTCTCACCCCTCCCCACCTCTATCCCCATCACGCTCCCCCCCCATTTCCCACTTCCACTCTCACCCCCTCCCCACCTCTATCCCCATCTCGCTCCCCCATTTCCACCTTCACTCTCACCCCTCCCCACCTCTATCCCCATCACGCCTCCCCATTTCCACTTCCACTCTCACCCCTCCCCACCTCTATCCCCATCCCCCTCCCTCATTTCCACCTCCACTCCTCACCCCTCCCCACCTCTATCCCCATCCCGCTCCCTCATTTCCACCTTCACTCTCACCCCCTCCCCACCTCTATCCCCATCCCGCTGCCCCCTCATTTCCACCTTCACTCTCACCCCTCCCATCTCTATCCCCCATCTCCTGCCTCCCCCATTTCCACTTCCACTCTCACCCCTCCCTACCTCTATCCCCATCCCGCTCCCCCCATTTCCACCTCCACTCTCACCCCTCCCCACCTCTATCCCCACCATGGAGACAAAGAAGAATCGGTGCCATGATCTGCGGATCTTCGTAATTAAGATTAAATATTTAAACGTTTTGATTCTACAGACACATCAAGATAACGTGTCTACAGAGCCTCCTGTAGTTACAGCACTATATGAAGAAAGGCAGGATGGCTCAATTACTATTAATCAAAAGGTCAAATACATGAAAAACAATGTTTCTGAATGAACTTATAGCCAACAATTAAATGTATGCTCTTAAACCAAGTAGTCGTTATAGGGAGGACATGATATATTACAATGTTTTAAAATATCACCATGAAATCCATAAGAAACAAAACAAGATATCATGACGTGAAGAAACATCATGTAAAATTCACGAAATTCACTCAGTCAGCTAGTTTACTTTACAAGGATGCGTGCAGTCCCATACTGCAGGGTTATAGAATGTAAGAGTAGGATATTACTGTAACACTTTCAGCTGTATTGTTCCAAATGTTTGCATACTAGCCACAAACAACTAATTCTGGTCGAAATCCTCTCTGACGAAGAAATATCACTTGTCATTGGTAAAAAGGATGTGAAATTGAAGTATCATTAGACGAGAAGACGTTGACTTGATTTTTCGCAAACATTACGCATCTGTTTTACTTCTTATGGCACTTTGTCTGAGAGTATGATTGAATGAATGCTTTCCTCCGATACAAAGTCGTTTACAAGATTAATTTGTAGGATAGTAAAGTCTGTGCATTCTGAAATCATAAATTACATGGCATTACGTCTATTTGTGAATCGCTTTTTCTAGTTTCGGGTTTGACATACAGATCTTTCCTACAGTTCTACCAGAATGTATTGATGTATTGTGATAGACTCCTAATTACTGGCACTTTAATTCACGTAAATAACCCCCATTAGTTGAACTGATCTGTCAGATCACAAGTGATGTTGTGGGAGCAGGTAGATATGGCGTAGCTAACCCAGCCGGTGGCTGTTGTCGTTGCTGTAGATGGTGACAAGAGACACGGTGGATCGCCAGAGGGATTGAAGCTGAAACCGAGGCAAGGTTGGGTCTTGTGACACTTGATACCACAGTCAGTGGCTGATATGGCTTTCACTGAGGTCGCGGGTGTGGTCAGCTTCTTGTTCAGACTCTTGTCGTACTTAGCAGCTAAAATACAGAAAATAGAAATATCCTAGAAGTGACTCAATGAAGGAGATTAACAGCAGAAGTGGTTGGTGTTATGAAGCACGGTAACATTGATTCTCACATATAGGGGAAAGAATAGCACAAGAGTCATTGGTCTTCGCTTGATAGGTTGTGAGTGCGTGAGTAGCAAATATCAGTTTCTATCCGATGTATATAGATTTTAATGAGCGTGAGGTCAGGAGGTTGAACTGTAGATCGAGGAATGTTCACAAGGACTTACCGTTTTTACTTCTGGGAGTGCCCTCCACCTCCACTTCACGTACAGCCAGGTAGTCTTTGATGTTTCTCCACACCCTCACGAATCTCACAGGCTGCTCATGGGAACAGTTGAAGGTCAAGGTTATTCCACCTTTAAGCATTGCATATGCCGGCCACTGACCACACCAGGTCACGTCGTCATCCAGGCAATCAACGTCTACTGACGACACACCGATGTATGCATAGCTGGTATCTGTTGTTGGAAAGTTGAGGGAATATTACTTGTGTGCAGTAAAACTATATACATGGTTAATGAATCAGTTGAACGGAACAATTTGTTTACGACGTGCTGTTTAACACATAGCCACATAGCGGGAACGATCATTGCGTTCTACATAAATATAGCGGATTGTTTGGTACGATGGGTTTGATAATACATTACTTCGCAGATGTTTCTTCATGCATTCGACATCTACGATAGAATTGAAGAATAGTTTGTTTGGGTTTTGAAAAATGTAAAGGTTACTGACGGCGATAATAACTTGTGACCGTGATGTTGTGTACGGTGTAGAACCCTTGTAGGTCTCCCTGCCAGTATGGGTGTAGTTGGTACTGACTAGCCGCTGATTCCCCGGACCTGTTTCCATCATTGGCATTGCCGGATTGGTAGCGTGCAGAGTGATTTGAACTCAGGCGCGTTGGTTTACCCAGCATGATATTTGCTGCCTTGACATGAAGCCCATCTGCAGGAATGCAATTGTTATAATTTGTACGTATTTGGAAACACAAGTAACAACACACGTTCTTTATTAGTAGCTGTAAAATAGGAACAAGCAGTAATAACCAACACTGGTGACTTAAACACCTAGTAAAACAGAGCTTCCGTCACTGACGTATATGACTGAGACAATAGGTATGGATTGACACTGCTGTCTCTTATGGAAAGAAATCTTGCTTTGTCAAGCTTTATGTAAGATATTAAGGCTGAGCGTCATATCGGATTTGATGAAGGAAATGTATAATACTTCATAACTTGAACATTGTTAAAAAGGCAGTTGAGAGGCATACATGTTATGGGAACCGCACTGGAATATTCGTCGTTGAATATACATTTACGTGTACATAAGCACATACAACAGGCTGGAAAAGGGGCACATAGACGGTCATTAGTTCTTTTCAGAAGGGGTTCTAATTCTTATAAAACACTATTCATAAGACGGATAGGTGATGGCGATTGTAATTACCTACAGAACAAAAGGCTCTGCACTGGCAATATACCCGTAACTTCAAGGTCAACAGGGTGCCATTGTACAAAGCGATCTTAGCGCTAAGGTGCTCGTAACTCCCATACCTTAATATAAACCTAAGGTAGTCTTAACGCTAAGGTTGTTTTGTACAACGGCACCCTGGTCACAAGAACATGGCTACTCACTACTAGGACACTTGCAACCAGAGGTCATTAGTGATAACGTGCAATAAAATATTGACATATTCGTAAATAGTGAATGTTCAGTGACATGAACAGAAACCCCTTTGTTCATTCTGAACCTTTAAACGGACTTACATTCTAACATCTGGTATTTTGTACTTTTGAAGTATACAATCTCACGCAGTGCACATAGATAAGTGTGTTGTCCTTTATTGTCATATATAATCCCTATGTAACTTACCGACAACTGATTTAGACGATAACTAACGAGTGAAGGGGAATGGGTTATAATAATTACGTAATTCTTGAGCCGTCGCGAGAAAATTACATAATTAAAATAACGCGGGAAAGATAACCTGTCATTCCGAGTCATGAGTTGGTTATTGATTTTTTACCAATATCAGTTTTCGATCTAAAATATCCTAAATGAAAACAGCAATTTCTCTCTAAAGAAGCCGCGATGTGGGAAATCCTATATCCCTACGTGTGATGCGGCTTTATTTCCAATAATTTCGTCACATTAACGCTATTTTAAAAGGGTGCATTACGCGAGACTAAATAGTCCATTAGAAACGTGTTTTTCCAAACTAACTTAACTGGATAGTTTCTTAAATAATAATACATATGTGTTGTCTGTACTTGAAAGCTTGAACTGTGTATTAATAATTGCAAACAAAACCGTATTTTATCAAATTTGTGTGTGAGTAGTTCGTTTGGAGGCGGGACGTGACAGTCTCAGGCACAACACTGATGCGAAACCTCGCCTTGTTTAGCCTTCACAACAAATACACTGAACGTCTTCATTGGCTGAAAAATATCTACAACTTTTCCTAAAATGGTGCCATCAACCATCAGTTTGTCATTCACATTTATTGGAGATAGCAAAGATGCCAGGTTTGTTTGCATCGACAACAGAGGAAGGATGGTTCGTGACCTCACAAGGTGACTCTGTGACCACTTTCCCATATGGGTAATAAAGCATATTTTCTAATAAGAACAATGTAACCGAAAATAACCACTAGGGTTATTCCTCCCTCCAACAGACGCTCGCACACGAACGAAAACTCATTCTCAAACATAAACCTACACACACTCATATACACACGCACCCAAACTCATTCTCACACACATACCTACACACACTCACACACTTTCACACACGCCAGCAAACTCATTCTCAAACACGTACCTACACACACTCACACACATTCACTCACGCAAGCACACTCATTCCCACACATATACCTACAATCATACACTCACGCAGAAAAACTCATTCTCACACACATACACACTCATACACACATACACACATACACAAACTCATTCTCACTCACATACCTACACAATCATACACACATACACACAAACCCATTCTCACACGCATACCTACACACTCATACACACGAACTCATTCTCACACGCATACCTACACACATTCATACACATGCGCACACACATACCTACACACACTCATACACACATACACACATACACAGAAACCCATTCTCACACATATACCTACACACATACACACACAGACAAACAAACTCATTCTCACACACATACCTAAACACTCTCATACACACACAAACGCACACATACCTAAACACTCTCATACACACACAAACGCACACAAACTCAAACACATACCTACACACACTCATACACACATGTTTTTATAAAACAGTGAGTTTACATTGAAAAAGAGGAGTCAGAGTTAAAATTTGATTAATGTGGGCAGAATGTCAGCCAGATCTGACAAGTTTGTTCTACATACCTCGCACCAATATACAACTGAGGGTGAACACCAGGTCTGGAATAGACAGCAGCATCCTTCACTCGTCTCCTGGTTGTGTCTGAATGTTCCTGTTTATTATCAAATAACGCGGTAAGATGATTGGCTTGGATCCTTTGACGGGGGCCAATGATTTACCTTGCAGTCACAGGCTTCAGTGAATATATCTACTGCAATGAAGACGATGGATTATCTACAAATTGGTTTACAGAAGTAGTTCCAGGAAGACTATTGAACACGTGACGTGCTTCTATTCATATGCGGAGAATAAATGTGTGCTTCATTGTAGCCTGCCTAGATTATGCTCAGTCTGAGGGATTTAAGCTTAAAATAATAAATAACCAACAGCGGACTCAAGAAAATTAAGCTTTTATAAAATTGTTTTCGTCACGGTATAGCTGAGACATTGCTGATGTGACGTT